TGGGCCAGCCAGGACCTGCCACGGAGGTGGCGAGTCCTGGCCTGGAGGTGACACGGCAGCAAAGATGCAGGATTCGGCACGTCCACCCAAAGCCCCCCTTCGCGGTGCTCTCTGCCTGGCTTCCTTAACGGTCAGACTAGGTATGTCAGGTCCAAACAGAACGGTTTTTTTTGGCCCTGGGTATTTTTCGTTGAGTTAAAGCTTGAACAGGGATGGAAAAGACAAAGCAGGACTCAGTCCTGCATCCCCAGAACCAGACCATTGCCTGCCTTCCCTTTCCTCCCCTCTCGTACCAGCCTTCCAAAGTCCCACGACGCGGGCAGGGCAGAGGTAATAACTTGTGCCGACGCGGCGACGTGCTGCCTCTGTTGCCCCAGCCCTGGCCAGCTTGTCTGCTTGCACGGAGAGCTGAGAGCCCGGCCCAAAGCAAATCCCTTGGGGGTAACTGGGGGAAGGTGTCTCTAGGAGAGCTGGTGACACCAGCTCCAGCATCCGAGGTGCAGGGCACAGCCCCTTGGCAAATCCCGAGAGAGATGCTGAACCAGTAAATGTTAAATAATGTTTCCCAGCAACCTGGTGTGAGAGCGTGTCTGCGGAAAAAGCGCTGCCATGAATATTTTAAGTTCAAAGACCTTTTTTTCTCAAAGATCATGTGTAATAGCTCGGGCTGTCTCCCCAGAGATGGGACTTGCACAGGGCCGGGTGCAGGATTCACAGTTTGCACCCGCAATAACCGTCTTTGCCCCGTGGTCTGAAACTGAGATGGAGGAACAACACCTACTGCTGCGGCCTGAGCTGGCGAAAGAACGAGCCCCAGACCCTCAGCTGGGGACCCTGACGCAGAAACCGGCACTTTGCACGCCGGGTGCTGGGTGCCGGAGCCTGATGCTGCGTCTGTGCCGCACGACGGCCCCCCGGTGAGGGTGCTGCGGGCACAGTGGCCTCAGATGCAGCCCCAGATTGAATTTCCTTCTTGTTTCCTTGCAGATGGACTTTTCTGCGTGCCTACAAAGTTCAGCACTGCTCTAGTCAAAAACCCTCAAGGCGGGGAAGTGGTTCAGATGCTGGAGAACTGTGAAATGAAGGAAAAATGCTATCGCGTTTCCCAGGTGGAATATTATTATGAAATCGTGCACAGCTCTGCGGGACACAGGGAGGAGCGGCTCAAGGTTGGTTTCCCTGGGGCTTGGCCTCCTCTCGTGCTGCTGGGCCCACCCGTGGGGTTTGAACAGCCGGGTGGATGCTCTGGCACGGGCAGCTTCACCCTGGTAAGGCGAAGCACAGCCTGGCAACAAACTAGGATGGTGAAAATCTCACGTTTATATTATGTTATAAAATCTATTTCACTGCCACTAATCTGTGTATACATCAGTGCCACAAAGTAACAAATGGCCTTTTCTTTGGGATGAGGATTTCTTTAAAAAATAATCAAGGGAGCAGTGAGATATTTATTTTAAAAAGTGATGAATCGTTAAGTATGTCTTAAGATCAGCTCAACAGAGAGTCCACTTCAACATGCCTTTGTGCACAGGCACCTCGGACGCAAAAAAACACTGATGTGCCCCCCAAAATACTTCTCCTTACAAGCTCTGCCTTGCTGCTGCCCTTTCCCAGGGGTGTGCATTCAGCCTGAGGGCGGAGGAGGCAGTGCCTTTGGCCGGTCCCCTGGGGTGTCCCCGGTGAGGTGCTGCAGGGGATTTTCATGCCTTTGTTTTGCAAATCTTTGCAGGAAATTGATGTGGGAAGGTGCTTGGGCAGCTGCTCCTCGGGGGATCCCCGCTTGCTTAGGTAAGCACAGCTGCCAGGAGCCGGCCCTTCTCCTTCCCGGGCACATCCCGCACATTCAGAGGCGGGTTTGAGCTGTTCCCCTTCCTCTCAAGCATCTGCTGCTCCCGGGGCAGGACCGGGGGGGTGACACAGGGGTGGATTTTGGGTAGCACC